GAGGGCCCTGGCTACTGTTCTTTGATGATTGCTGTGGCAGAAGGTGCTCTGGTGATCCTTCCTGTGCCACTAATTAACAATCTGAGGGTCACAGGAGTCCCACTATTTTAGTATACATTCCTAGGAAGTATGGAAAGGCCAGCCTCATTGTTGTGATCATGGAATTACAAGGGAAACAACTATATACAGGACACATAATTTAGGATTATTTTATAATAGTCACCCACAGAGTTTAGTACCAAAGAGTGTGGGAGATCCGTCCACACTAAAGGTGCAAGGAAACCAGCTGAGGGCCTGGATCCCACAGCCATGTCCTGCATGAGTTCAGCTGAAGACCTAGAGCCCATGACAATGCCCGTCCCCGCCCCAGAGTCCAGCTGGAAGCCTACAACCTGTGACAGTGTCCCCCCAGGAGCCCAACTGGAAGCCTAGAGCCCATGACAATGCCTCATGTCGGTTTGTTCCAGGGATCTGTGCTCGGAAGGCCCAACAGTCAGTGGTGGGAGCTAGAAAGTCTGTGCTAGTGGGATGAAGGACCAGTGCCAGCAGGCTGAGGACCTGCCCTGGAGCCAGGAAGCGATGCTTAAGGTAAGGACCAGAGCTTCCCTGGAAAACACCATAGCCAGCCTCAACCACCACAAGGTCCTGAGCTCCTCTAATGATAAGAACACATGAATCCATACCAGGAAAGCCAGTGGGACAAGCTTCTCCAGGACATTGAACAGTGCACCGTGTTCCCCTCTGGAGCCAGGAAGCGATGCTCAGAGTAGGGACTAGAGCTCCCCCAAAGTGAACCACAGCCATTCTCAGTGATAACGAGGTCCCAAGATCCTCTGATGATAACAGCCATGTTCTTATCAGGAAAGCTAGCGTGACAAGCTCCTCCAGGAGAACCAACAGCCCCCCAAAACACCTCTTCTTTTTCTTCAGTGCTCCTCTTTCTGTTGCTGATAACAATCCTCAGGCAGCACCCCCATGCTCAATCTCACACTGTACAGTTCTGCTGGGTTTACAAGTTGCCCACCAGGTGCGCATCCACCACAGCATCCTTCATGTGCTGCTGGCTTTGCAGGACATAGGTTATAGAATTGTGGTGGGTCACATTAGTGCACAGGAAAATTCCCGAAGGACAGGCAGTGTGCCGTAGGGTCCGAGTCCCCCTCATACGCAGTCCCTGCTTGGGTAACGTGTGAAGACTGTGGAAATGAAATGGAAGTGGCAGCGAATACCCCAGTGTCATGGGGTTGTGTCTAGACGTCTCCCAGGACCCCTGCAGTCACAGACTCTTAGCTCTAGCTTCCTCTTGCCGTTCTTTTTCTTTTCTTTCTCATTTTTTGGTGACATGTTTTACTAAAGATCAGAGAGACTCATTTTGAGAAAGTCTTAGGCTCAGTCCATCTGTCTTTCTGCCTTTAGGGTAGGTCAGAGGGAAAGGGAGTAATGTTCCCCAACCCCTTCTCTCCCTCCTCTCCCCAGCATGCTGCTTGGGCTGGGTAGACTGAGGGGCCATCCAGTACAGATGGGGAGTAAAACAGAAAGCCATGTCCAGGGAGCCCTGTGAGTTGGTAGTGTTGCAGGCAGCCAAATTAGAAATATTACAGGCAGTCAGACAGGGCCAGGCCCTCAAGGAGACAGCACGGAAGACAGGACACCTTGCAACAGTGAGAGAGATGGACGCCCCTGCTGTGGGCCAGACCTGAAGACCAAAGATCAAACAAATGCTGACCTCCCTAGAGATAAGCATCCGGGATTGATCATCACCCTGAGGAGGCTGGGAAGAGTCATTAATCCAACTATTACTGGCTGGCTACTGGACAAAGTCCTGTTCTATATTCGTGCCCGCTTGCTACATAACTCACTTCCCCATTTGGTCCTGGATTTAATCAATTTTACCTGAGCAATGGTGCTTTTAATCTCATTGGTTGGCTATATTTTTGTCCCACCTCATGCCCACCTAAGTGAGTTCCCATGTTCTCCACCGTAGGCCCACATGGTTTTACACTATAAAAGTCCCTGGAAGAGACAGCTTCTCTGGGGGACCACCCACTTGGTGCCCCCCTCCTGTCCCTCTCTCAAACAGGAGCTTTCTTTTCCCCAATAAATATATTCTGCTCCTAACCTCCGTTTGTTCCTAAAATTCATTCTTTGGTTTTAGAGAATACAAACTCATCCCAGGTACCTTTCAGGTCGGGAGTTTCATTTTTTTCCCCCTGTATCATTAGCAGTTTGGGCACAACAGGTATTAAGGAGAACCAGGAGCTGCCTCTGTCTGGCCATAATTCCTCTCTAGAGCATTTGTCACCAGCCTGACAAGTGCTTTACGTGAAGGCTGGAGTTCTGTCACCTTTAGTATAAGCCAAGAGAACTGAAGGAAGGGGACACATAAGATGCTGCTAGGAGCAGACATTCTGGCCCAGCCACTTCCTTAAACAACTCAGTGGTTGCTGCTGGTCCTGGAGGGACCTGAGAAGGTTGACAACTGAACACTTTGGGCTGAAACAGTCAGGTGAAAGGGGGGCCACTCTGCTTGCTTTTCAGAATGGGAACCATGAGTGGAGTGGTGGCTGGTTGCTTGTGTCAAGCTGGGAAGTTTAGGAACTTAACTAAATCGGCTCAGCAATTCTACACCCTAGGGTGTACCAGACCCAGGCTCACCTCCTGGATCGTATACAAGGGGAATGAGGAAGAACAGACAGGCTCCCTTTCTTCCAAGTAGCTCCAGTCTTCACCTTCAGCTCAGACGTCATCTCCTGACTTCTAGCGTAGACTTTTAGACTTCCGCCTTGGATCCTTCAGCCTTCTTGTGTAGACTCATCAGTTTTCTGTCGCAGACCCATCGGCCTCCTGATATGGACTTGCCCGGGACACTGCAGTGGGCTCCAGGCCTCGCCCTGAGTCCTTCAGTCTCCAGCGTGCAGACGCCCTTTGCACGCTTTCTCACCCAACTCTGCCTGACCATCGTAAGCCAATCCTCTAATTTCTTATACATTTGTACATCTTGTGTTGTATCTATTTCTCTAGTAAAACCCTGACTGATGCAGATGCCATGGCCTGCTACCAGTGCAAGCTATTACCTGGGTAAGCTTGAAGCACACCTGGAGCAGCCTCAGCTTCCTGGTCAGCTGAACAGGAGCACACAATGGCCTGGACAATCCTAGGCAGGCAAGGCTTGCTGGATCTGTGTTTGGAATTGATTCTGATCTGGAATGTCTTTGAAGTGAGTTTGTACTTGTCCACCTTTGAATCCAAGATGGGTGGGATGATCTCGGAGATTTCTGAGATGCCCTTGAGGCGGTTCTTCTACCAGTTTGAAGGAAAACACTCAATTTTCCTTTATTCATGCCAGCAACCACACCCTCCCGGGCAGCTACTTTACGCTCACGACTGCCACTTTACACTCACTCCTGCAAATATTCGAAAGCTTGCTGCTCTGCTTTTCGCCCCTACTGATCGTCATTATTCATGTGCCTTAAGAGCCAGTTGTGGCCCGCACCTATAATCCCAGCACTGAAGCAGAAGGTTCATTGTGAGCTTGAGGACAACCTGGCTACAAATGAGCTAAAGGCCAGCCTGAATGCAGAGTGAGACCCTGTCTGAATAAGACAGAAAAGGGGCCATGAAGATAGCTCAGTGGTCTAAGCACCTGCCTAAGCAAGCGCAAGGGCCCCACTCTGGGTGCGCTGAGCTGGCCACCAAGACCAGGCATGATAGCGCAAGCCTGTAATCCCAGTGCTGGGGAGGCTGAAAACAGGAGGACCACAAGTCTGAGCTGCATAGTGAGACCCCATACCAAATACATAAAGTTAAAAAAAAAAAAAAAAAGACAAAAAATGATTGCCTTAAAGTAACCAGTAATGTCTGTTCAGCAGCCTGAACTCTTTGGTACTGTGAAAACTTCTTTGTCACCCAGCCACCAACAATGAGTTCATCACCTTTAAGCCTGGCATCTCGTGGCATCAGGACACAGATGAAGTGCAGCGAGTTCTTTGCTGCCATGTGCAGCAAAAGTGACTTCTAGTCCAAATGTCTGTAGGATCCTCCCTTACATCTGAAGCCTCACAACATAGCTGTTTTCCCCCCATTTCCACCTGCGCTCTTGTTGTTTTAGGTACTTTTCTCATCACTGAGACAAAAATCCCTAACCCCAAAGTTACAGGAGGAAAGGCTTATTGAGCTCACAGTTGTAGAGGCTTCAACCCATTGTTGGCTGACTCCAAGGTGTGCTGCTTCACACAGGAGAAGCAGTCCCTGGCAGGCAGAAGGCAGCAAGGCAGCAAACTATCAGCAACGAGCAACAGAGACCCTCTCTGTGTGCCTTGCATCTTACCCAGCCTACCCACCATTTGGGCAGACAGCCCTTGCACCTGGGGTGGGGCATCCTTAATCCTACCCAAAGCTGTGCCAAAGCAATCAGTAGACTAATTTAGCAATTGCATAGCCTACTTCCCAGCATTATACACTCCAGATCCAGCCACCTCCCAAAAGCACCACCATGGTCACCTGAGGCTTTGGGAACATCTAAACACAAGTCATAAACAGAGGTCTTCTGAGACTTCCCCAGAGTTGCCCATTAGGCTCCATTTTTAGTATTCTTGGCTTTCTCCAAACCCTTCCAAAGTCCTCCAAGAAATCAGTTCCAAAGGCATCGTCAGGCATAGCTATAGTCAACACTTCTCCATCAAAATTTTCTGTATTAGTCAGCATTCCACCACTATAATGAAATAGAGCAGAACCTTGAATTGCCAGGAACTTGTTCTGTGAGTGTTCTGCAAGCATTCTAATGATAAGCGATGTCTTGCAACATGAATAGTATGCAGCACCAAATGTCACATGATCACAACTGAGCCTATAGCACCCTCTCTCCCTCTCTCTCTTTGAGTTGTGGGTAATTATCTCCCAACAGCAAAAGGTTATGGAGGAGACCTTGTCTTCAGGAGAGGAGGAGAAGGAGGGGGAAGAAGACGAGGAGGAAGAGAAGGAAGAGGAGGAGGAGAAAGGGGGAGGAAACACTCGCTTCAAATGAGATTAGGGAAATGCGTGAATATGGGCACAGTTGTAGAGGAGCACCACCTGAGTAAGGCTGCGGCGGTGTAAGCAGCGAATCTATCTGCTGACCATGCAGTATTACATCTTTGTAAAATCCTCAAAAGGAGGCAAATGCAAGTGTCATTGGATAGATTTCTCATTGAAGTTGCATGAAAAGAAAAAAGATTCTGTTGAACCAATAGATAGCAGTAATTTTGTTAGTGATGGTGAAAGTCATCCTATCACTTTCCTCTCTCTTGTCCCCCTCACACTAACCACAAAGGTTTTCAAAGGTAAGTGCAGGTTAATTTGTATTTTCTTTATTATTTTTGTTCTATTACAGTATTATAATCATTTTGGGATTATACAGTGTGTCATCTGAGTTCCCATTATTTGTCTTTTTTTTTGTAGACTAGCAGGTAATTTTATTTTTATTTTTATTATTTAAAGAGACTACAAAATAGCAAAAAAAAAAAAATTAGAAATGATGCAGAATTTTACCACACAAAATAATAGAAATTTGACAATGGTTGTTGTATTGCATAATGTTGTCTTCAAATTCCATTATTTCTTATGGGGAAACTTACATTGATATATAAGTGTTTTGGATTACAAATGTGCTTCCAGAATAAATTATGCTCATAAACCAAGGCTTTACTGTACTTCAAATATCCTGTAAAGGACAAAGTTAACTGTGGCTCACATATGTCAAGATTCCAGTCCCTGACTGATTGCAGTATTGGGCATGTTGTAGAAAGCACTGAGGCAGGGCAAGGGAACTCACTTCATGGCTAGAAAGAGAAAGAGAAAGAGAAGGGGTACGTAGCCAGGAGCCCGCAATTCTCCAGGGTGGACCCCAAAGGCCTCAGGACTACTGCTGGCCCCACCACCTGAAGGTTTCACTGCCTACCCTAAGTCACACAGGGGATAAAAACTGTAATACATGGCGCCTCTGGGGGACTCCAACATCCAAATGGAGTGATAGAAATCCGATTTCTCGGCTGCAGTTAGAGCTGCAGGCACTGGGCAAGTGCCTTTCAGGGAGATCGTGGGGTCTTGGTTTCTGCCTTGGTTTCTCTTTTATTCCCAGCTTGCTCTGCCAGGCGCTCCTACCAAGCTGCTACTGCTCTTGCTGGACAAGCATCCTGGTCACACCTGATACCCAGATCTTTGTATCCTGAATGAAGAGCTGAGCAGCTTAGAAAGAGAAAGAAATGAGACTTATTAAAAGCAGAGCGCACTCCACAGAGCGGAAGCAACTGCTCAGGAAGAACAAGGATGTGTTTAACTCAGCATGGCCTTTTGCACCTTTTAGGTAACACAGTCCCACTGACCTGAACCAACAGTGGTCCATGCGTGGCCGACCCACAGGTAGCTTTGTACTCCTGAAAAGTGGACCTAGTCACTTGGATGGGTCTTTTTGCTAATAAAATTAATAAAAACCCACCTGATGGGACAGTAATAGACATATATCACCTGTGACTTAAGGTGCCCGGCAGCAGGACCTCCTCACTACAGCCCTGTCGTGAAAGTACATCCTCAGGTACCATGGATGGGCAGTGCCAGAGAGGACAGCGGAGGTGGGGTTCACGGTTAGCTTCTCTTTTGGTTTTCTGGAATTAGAGAGTGGCTGGGGGAACAACCCAATGGGCTTCTGTCTAACCAACTGTGTGTCTCCACCCCACGTTGGAAGAGGGGTTTGCAAACTTATATGGGTCTGGATGGAGCCAACCTGGTTGCCAGAGGCCACCACAGAGGTCAGAACGAAAATGCCAAAAATAACGCCCTTGGGGTTACTCTGAAACAGTTCCGACACCCGCTCAGTGGGCTCATGTCGGAGAGTAAAGAAGAATGATGAGGGCAGGAGCATACCCTTTAGGTTCACACCAGGATATAAAGGAAGTCAGGTGAGGGCAAGGCTGTGTTTCTCGGGCTCAGGTCTCAGCACTAAGGAAGTGCGGCGAGAGTGCGATCCTCTTACTGTCTCCAGGAGCCAGAAGGGATTCTGTCTGTGGGGAGCCTGAGCCCAGGGGGTCTCCCACTCACTGTCTCCTGCCTCACTGCTCCTCCTTAGGCCCTGAAGCAGTATGGCCAGTGGCCCGCGGGCTGAAACTTCCAAGATTAAGCCAAACAAAAAGAATCTTTAGGGGTCAGGAATATAGCTCAGCAGCACAGCGTCTGCCCCGGCAAGCACAAGGTCCTGAGTTTGATTTAGTACCCTCTCCCAACAGAGAATCTTTTCTCTTCTGAAATTGACTATCTCAGTTATTTTGTGAACTGGAGAAATGGAAAGCTGACTAACACAAATGGTTTTGTCTTTGATATTTATTTATTTATTTATTTATTTATTTATTTATTTAGTGGAACCGGGGATTGAACTCAGGCCCTTGCATTTGCCAGGCAAGTGCTTATTCTACTGAGCTATCTCCCCGGCCCTAACTTTTTTTTTTTTTTTCTTCAGACCTGGGGATTGAACTCAGCCCCTTCCGCTTGCCAGGGAAGCGCATATTCCACTGAGCCATCTCCCCAGCCCCCGTCTTTTTTTTTTTTTTTTTTTAAATGCAAAAGAAAGGTGAGAACAGAGCTGTGCGTGCTGGAAGCATCATATCAGTCAAAGTTTCATGGGTAACTTTTCATTATCTTTTAGGATGTCTACTCCGGGTCGGTTACAATTCTTACTCGCAAAGAACTGCGAGTCAGCACGCAGCGGCCTGGGAACCAACGCTGACGCCGCGCAGCGCCGTGGGTGTGATCCACGGAACCGCGCGCGGCCCGCAGCGTGCACGGCAGGTGTGATATCTAGTGTACAACAGTTTTAACATTTAGTGGTGTCGCAGTGCTTACTTCAGCAGCTCATATACAAAAATTAATAATGTAACATACTGAAAACATTGTATACTTAAATAAATTTTATGCCACACCAATTAGACCTTAATAAAGCTGTCTTTTACAAACAGCTGGGCAGAGGCCGCTGATAGAAACCAGGCAGGGTCAGCAGGACCCAGATGGGAAGCAGAATGGTAGCCAGATGCGGAAGCAGGAAACTTCCGGTACAGGCACGGAGGCGGTGCCCCCAGTCGCGAAGAGACAGGCGGGGCAAGCAGGAGACCCCTGCTGACTCAGACCGCGGCTGACGGCCTTCGCGTGTCCGCGGTCCTCCGGGCACCCGTGCCAACCGAGGTGCAGCTTCCGCAGACTTCCATCCGCTACACGAGGAAGGTGGCGCTGCTGGAAAGGCGTTTTCCAGCGCTAATTGGGCAACAGGCAGAATAAGAAAAACTCCCTGAGGGCTGGAGCCTCTTTTTTGCTTGGTTTTTGAATCACGATCTCACTATGTAGTTCCGGCGGCTTCGAACTGAGTCCTGCCTTAGCCTCCTAGGCGCTGGGAGTACAGGTGTGCGCAGCCACCCCTGGTTCTGGACTCCCTTATTAAGACACACTCCTCCGAGGATCTTAGCAAGTTAGCCACAGACTACAGTTTGATGCCTTACAAACCCCAAATTCCCATATTTCACCTGGCTTCCAAAACCCAGGCCAAGACCTGTGTGCTTAAGATGGTAGAATCCAGACAGAGTGTCCTCTTAGCTCACAAACACAAGCTCTCAGGCCATGAGAGGAAAGGGGGATTCTATCCTCTTTGGTAGTTTTCGGGACTCACGGTAGAGTTCTGTCTAAATACGCACTAGTCCTGTGGGAACAAGCCCATCTGTCTGCAGGGCCAGCAGAAATAGCGAGCTTATAAGGACCTCCCAGGTTCTTTCTGCAAGTTTTTGCTTCTTATGTTAAACAAATAAAAGACAGGACAAAGGAAGCCAAAGATTATCTCTGAGCGGGAAATTATCAACCAGAAATTCAGAGCACTTGCAAAACGCTCCAACTCGCTTTTGCCTAAAGCACTAGTTCACAAAATAGTTTCTGTCAATCCAATTTTTTAGCTAGAGGGAAAGAGACAGAGTCTTCTTGTTCTCTTCCTGACAGATCCCTTTTGTCAGAACCCGAGGTCTTGCTCCAGCAGGGCCTAGCAAGCCTTTTGCCAGCCAGTAGGGAGGACTGTCGAGGGGTCAGGCTCGGCAGGAGAGCCAAATCCTCCCACCCCCTTAATTCTTCTGAGGGCTCTTGGCTGCATCTCGCAACCCAATTAGTACAAGAGCTGACCAACAAGAGAAAAGCATACATTTATTTACACATGCATGGATGGGAATTTTCATTTGAAGAAGTGACCAAAGTGATCACTGATGCTTTTACATTTTTGAGGAATGAAAGACAAGAACACACCTCTGGACTAGGCTAGAAAACTTTAGAGATGTTACTAAGAGATACGTGGAGGAGGAACGTGGACGCTAGCGCAGAGAGGGCTACTACCGTGGAGCTTGTTTATTTAGGTAATTCGTCTCAGTAATTCCTGGGTTTGACGAACAATAGTTTTCTGGCCTCGGTATAGGAAAGCTGTACCCTCTCCCAAAGAATCTTTAGGGCTCGCTGGGTATAAAAATAGACGGGTGCCTAAGCTTCCCGGGGAGCAGGGAGTCCGGGCTTGCACCACCAGCGAGTGGCGCTTTTTGCAGAGTTCCTTGAGTGACCTCAGCTTGAAATAACCCGTGCATCAATTCTGCCCCTTTTGGGATGGCATGTTTCTACCTCCCTCGCTGCTTAGGTTGTTGGACCCATGCGTTACCAACTTAGCTAATCTTTCTTAGAAAATCCACTATTGACTTAGCAGGCATATTAGTGAAAATTTCAGTATTTTTCTTCTCGGTAATATTCTTATTGTCTGCAACTGTATACCCCGAAATTTCATTTTCAACTTTCGGGAAACCCTAGTTTGTTTTGCTTTACTCTAAATCTTAGGTATGTAGGGAATTTATTTACTTAATGCCCAATTAAAAAATATCATATAAATAATGATTTTTCTTTTCTTATTTTACAAGTTAAGATTTCTTTAAATTCTGGGTTGCCTAAGTTTAGTTTGATAATATTTCAGATAACTTCAGGATATTTCTATGAAATGGAACAATTTTGAGTTGTCTCTTGGTCTCATATAGGTAAACTGTAATTTCAGAACAGAATTCTGAGGCCATTTTATTCAGGATTTTCATAATTAAGAGTGTTAAAATGTTAGCTGTTGGGGCTGGAGAGATGGCTCAGTGGTCTAAAGCACCTACTTAGAATAAGCGTAGCAAAGCACAGGGACCACGGTTCAATCCCCCAGCACCACATGCCAGCCAGCCCCGCCCCCTGGTGGGCTGAGCTGGCCACACACACAAATTAATTAAAAAAAAAAAAAAAGAAGTACAGGGGTATGCCCATCAGTATGGGCATTCATTTAAAAATAAAATAAAATAAAATGTTAGCTGTTGGAAGGAATTGTGAAATCTGTTCAGTGGTCACTCCCTAGTCTCTTGGTCAGATTTGACACAGTATATTTTGATGGCCCTGCATAGTGTCCCTTTAAAAACCTGGAACATGTCCACACCCTGGAGTTAGGACAGATCACACAAACCCACAGAAGATAAGGCCAGCAGCGTTGGGATGCATGTGTGCAGGGTCACCAGGGCCTGCAATCCCTGCTCCAACCACTGCCCTGCATCTGCAATCCCAACTATTCCCTCTTTTCTTTCAGAGAACCATGTTACCCTTTGGACGACCCCTGGCACTCGGACCCTGCCTTTGAGAGCCTGTAGGTCCAGGCCCTGCCCCGCCTCTGAGGGCTGCTCTGCTCCTCAGACAGTCCCTGAGCTCCGGGCTGCCTTTCCAGCCCCCGGTGTCCTCGCCCTGGCCAGCTAGGCCTCCTTGTCCTGCACTTGATCCCCATTGCATTCCGTTCCTTTCAGGTTACAGGACATGTCTGGACACTAGAAGGAAGAAGCGCCTCCTATTTTCAAAACCTCTGTCCTGCACTTGTAGTCTTTAGCGGGCAAACCACAGAGTGAAGGGTAGGGACAAGGCACTTTAAATGAAGGCAGCACTAGATGGAGGAATGGCAATGTGTAGTATCTGTTCTATGTCTTTAAATTTTTTTTCTAATTCATATTAGTTTTTTATTTTTATTTTTTTGTTTTTAATCTTATTTATTTATTTGGTACAGGGTCTCACCATGCGGCTCAGAGTCATAGTGATCCTCCTGTCTCAGCTTCCTCAGTGCTGGGATTACAGGCACGTGCCATCATGCCCAGTTTTGGTGGCTGGCTCAGCATGGGGCCCGCAAGGCATGCAGTACTGAGGATCGAACCTGGGTCCTTGCACTTGCCAGGCAGGCACTGAGACGGTTGAGCTTTCTCCTGGGCCCCATGCTAGCTTTTAAAGGAAATTTCCTCTATCGGGTCTGGAAATGTTGTATCTCCATGTTCAAGAATTATAAAGCAGATCTGGACAAACCCTTAATATAAAAGATACAGCGTGTGTGTGTGTGTGTGTGTGTGTGTGTGTGTGTGTGTGTATGCACGCATGTGCATTGTGCTGTCACTTCACTGTGGGCAAACTTACATGAGGCCTTCGGCTGCTTCCTGAGCCTGGGTACAGTCTGAGAACCTGAGCTGGAGAATTGGCCCTCTCTGAATACAAGCTGACAGCCCCAGGGACACAGTCTCCAGACAGTGGCAGGGCGTGGGATTTCCGCAACATAACAGCGATGAGCCCTCTGCCTGCCTTCTTCTGTACCTTGTTCTTGGTGGTTGGACATGCCCATCGATATGCTGTTTCCATCATGTAGTCCTTCAGAATATGAGCTCATTTCCAGAGTTTAGTTCCTGCAGAGCAGCAACCTGGCCTTTTATCACGTAAGCCATTTTATTTATTTTTTATTTATTTGCAGAACCAGGGATTGAACTCAGGCCCTTGCACTTGCCAGGGAAGCGCTTATTCTGCTGAGCCATCTCCCCAGCCCCCAATTTTATTTTTAAAGTTCGACTCATCTGTGTTCATTTATCCATTATGTTTTGTGAGATTCTTTCAGCGAGGCAAAGGGAACACATCATTAACTGTGCAGGTCTTTATTCTGAAGCAGTCCTCTGCCTTCAGAGAAAAAGCTGGCAGGTGGGACAGTGCTGGTAGCAGGATGCTACCCCTTGGGAGGGTGCGCCACAAGTCTCAGCTCACAGAGTGATGTCAAGGCCATTTGACCATGCTTTCTCAGCAAGACGTGCAGAGACTATTCCAGGCCAGAGCAGAGTCAGAATCCGGGAACCTGGACAGACTAGGGCTCACCTTGGCCTCGCTCAGGTCATAGGCTGTGGTTCTCTGAACATCCTGTTATCTTGTCTTGGAAGCCCAAAGGGTGTCTAGCCCCTTGGAGCCCCATCTTTCACCCCAGTGCACTCTTAGGGATAGCAGTTCCACGCACGTCCCAGTTCTGGGTGGCGGGAGCATCTCGCTCTCACCAGCAGTACATTGCAGTGCAAACACCTCGGCTACCCTGTGGCCTCCTGTGTCTGCTTGCTGCACTGAAATTCACAAACAGCTGAAAGAGGATGGGCTGCATCTCCCTGACTCCCTAAAGGAAAATTCAGAGCCCAACCTGGTCTTGGGGCTGCCCCTTGTCCGGGGCCACTCCCAAGTCACTGACACTGTCCCTGCAGAGGGGAGCTGTGGTGGAGAGGAAAGCTGAGGGTACCTCCCAGTTTGGTCAGTCCTCTTCCAAGCATGGCCCCAGAATTAAACTTCCCAGGTGTCCACCTGAGCTAAAAGCCCCTCCCTGGCAGAGCCCGAGGGATTAGGGCAGCTAACGAATAAAGACAGAGAGGAACAGGAAGCAAAGTGGGAGGGCAGCTTTGCTCTCGCACCATCTGGCCTGTGTCCAAGTGCACTGTCACCTCCTTGTGGACCAGGCAGGTTATGGGGGCGGGGAACCGCGTCTGGGATAATTAAGGAGCAGACCGCTTGGCCCTGCTGCTGGCTTCTAGCCTGCCAGAGCTCGCTGCTGGA